GGGTTTGTAACCTTCACCGGCATTTGTTCAGTCTGTGTGCTGAGTAGATAAGCTGGACTATATGAAGAACTTGGTATCAGGAATGAAGGAAGGCTCATGACCAACCTGGTTTGCTTAAAGGAATGAGGGTTTTAAGCACTCGTTTATGATCAGTGACTGCAGTCTTCAGTATGGATTGCATCTCAATGTAATGAAAACTAAATATCCTTACAATTGGAATAGATAACACTATGATAAATGGAGAAATTTTGGAAATTGTAAGGATTCCATATTGCTTTATATCCAGTCAATGATCATGGAAGCAGCGATCAAGAAATTAAGTTATATGTTACATTGGACAGACATCTGTAAGTGTTGATGAGCAAGGATGCCACTTTGAGGACTAAGGCGTGCTTGCCATGAGTCTGGGAATTTTCAATCACCTCATATGCATGTGAAAGTTAGATATTGAATAAGGAAGATGAAAGAAGAATCAATGCATTTGAGTGATGTTGTCAGAGAACATTGAAAGTACTGTCTTGGAAGAATTACAGCTAGAATGTTCTTTAGATATGAGGTTGGCAAGACTTCCTCACCTACTTTTGACATGTTGTTAGAGAGACCAATCCTTGGAGAAGGAATTACACTTGGTAAAGGTGAAGGTCAGTAAAAGAGAGAAAGTCACAAGTGGTTGCAACAATGGGCTGAAACCCCAACACCATTGTGAGGATGGTGCAAGTCAGCACAGCATTTTGTTCTGTTCTGCACAGGATCTCTATGAGAAAGAACCAGCTTGAAGGCATCTAACAATAAGATACAGTGATAAGGATAATACATAGGTACAAATAAAAGGTAAGAAATATGTATCTGAATATTTTCCATTCTTATCATTTGGAGTTATAATATTAAAATATTCTTAGCTATTAAAATATTGTGGTATAAGACAATGAGATCAGCTTGAGGAGACAAATCTTTTTTACTTGTAAAACATACTTTTTCAGTAAATTTTCTAAATCAGCAACATTTCTACCAATATGCATTATGATTTCACATTTTAATCATCCAGATATAGTTCTTTCTAGAATGTATGCTGGACTCAGCATTTCTAAAGGGATTCTAAGTGTAATTGAACACTTTCTTAATTAATCAAGGAGGTCAGGAAGAACAGTATTTATTAAATTAAACTTTAATACAATAAGAAATTCAAGAATAGCACTCTGCAGAATTGTTCCCTAAACTTTCTCCAATTCCAACATTCCAGTGAGGCTGGTGGTATTGTGTGCTTCCCTTGTTATCAGCTAAACTTTTTGATATGCTCAAATTGCCTGTCACTAATATCTGTACTCTACTTTTTACTACTTTGTTTGGTGTGTCTGTAGCTTGAGAAATTAAGCAAATATGTTAGAATTGTGTTAAATATCATGAGGTGTTTGGGGATCAAATCTACAAGGACTGAGAAAATATCTTTCTTCCAAAGAGGAAGTTAGAAATTCACAATAACACTCTTTTTTCTTATTCTTAACTACAGTTCCTCAAGTGAATTTGTCCCTACAACTGAGACTTTGGATACATGGAGCATTACTGAATTCTTCTATTTTATCCGATGCATGTTCTCCTTCTACATATACAGCATTATTCATTTTTACTAGCATATGTAAGCAATGCGTATTCAGTCTGGGTGATGACTTATTCTTGAAACACAATCATAATGTAGGAATCACATGGTACAGTGGCTAAGCAGCTCGGTTGCTAACTGACAGATGAGCTTCAATCGGCTTCCATCTAAATTACAGCCTTAGAAACCTAATGGAACCAATCTACTCTGTCCTACTTGGTCACAATGAATTCGATTCAATGCGGCAATGGGTTTAGCTTTTGGTTTTATTTATACATAAAGACACATCAACAAGTTCAAGGTGAACTTGAAGAAAATCCTTACACTCATACACACTTCCACTGATCTAAACCGTTGACCAAATTTCCATCATTTAATATGCTTTCATTAAGATTGTTATTAGGTTGAGTCAGCTGACTCCATGTAACCTGATGGAACCTATGTATAAGTGTATAAAACATTGCCGGTCCTGCACTATTGTCATGGTCGTTAGCATGTTTGAGTTCCTTGCTCTGGCTATTGGACTAAGCCATCTCCTTGAGGATTCTGGTGTTGCATCCCACAGTGCCCATTAAATGCTACAAAAGAACGTGGTTGCTCATATGACTGCACAAGGTCAGCAGTTTAAATCCACCAACTGCTTCAAGGGAGAAAGATGAAGCCACTGAATTCTAGAAAGATTTGCCGTCTCTGAAATTCAAAGAAGGCAGTTCTACTCTGCTATAGGGTTGCTATCAATTGGGATCTATTCAATGGTAGTGGGTTCATTAAAATCCACATCCCTTTAAACCACTTTCATGGTATAAATTACAACTCATAGACACCCCATAAAGGTTTCCAAGTCTTTGCATCTTTATGGGAACAGACAGTCTCATTTTTCCCCATGGAGTGAATGATGGGTTTGAACCACGGACTTCTTGATCAACAGCTGACACTTATTAAACCAGGATATTTTCGACCTAATGCATTAGATGGAATTAGAACAAAAGTTATCATTTTTAAACTCAAAGTAAAATCTTTAGGAAAGAACATTTATAATATGTAGGATTAAGGTCACACTGACTTGTGGCTTAAGGAGCCCTGGTGGAACAGTGAACTAAGCATTAGATTTGGGTTCAAGCCTACCAGCTACTGTTTGGGATAAAGAGGAGGCCATCTGTTTCCATACTTTTTTAAAGAGTCTAGAAACTTAGCTCTACTCTGACCTATAGAGTCACTATGAGTCAGACTTGACTTTGACCGTGGGTTTTAGGTTAGGGTGTGACGGCCTAGGCCACTAGTGATGAAAAGGGAAGGAGGGATGTATGAGGGCACCGTGCAAATATTTTAACTTCTCTATTAGTCTTCTTTGACCTGACCTGACCTGACTCCCTACCTGCTAATCACAGCTTAGTAAAGAACACTCGTTCTCAGTTACTCATTTGGATAGCAATTGTCATCTAAATTATTCTTTATGTGGAGAAAATGAGGCTTCTACTTTTTCAGCCTTCACACATCTGCTGCTGGCTGTTACAGCAACAAAAACAAATCCTCTTCACAATGAAAATATTGAGGGAATTTTCCTAATGTGCTAATCTGTATTAAACCAATATTGCAGAAAAGATGACTCAAACTTCCGAGGACTGATGATAGTATGATGCTTTTTCCTTCTTGAAAGTGTCAATACAATCAAATGGAGACGGCTTGAAAGATAATATTGCTTAAAATTAGGTATCCTGAAATGGATATGTTCCCCAATGTGCATATGTAGACAGCTGTCCTTACCATGGAGGCATTCTCATTAAAAGTTTACAATCATATATTCATCTAAAACACTATTTGTGAAAAATATCATGTAAAAATCTCATTAAATTCTCCTTCTAGTTAAAAGAAAATATACTCAGGACCTGTATGAAATGCTAATTTACTTCTGTAATAGCCCACGATTGAACTCAAATTATACTAATTCATTTTATTGGCAAATAAAACCATGTAACACAAAATAGATAACTTTAAACAATTAATATCAGTTATAAAACAATTCAGTAGGTAGTGAAGACATTTTAATAGCATCTCCTCCTCTCCACAGTTTCCTTTATTATTTGCATCATATATTGGTGTTGTACACTTGCTGCAAATAATGAGTCTGTATGTATACATTATTAGCACAGGTCTATAATGGAGTTTTTCCCTTCCATGAGGAAGTCCCAGGTTCAATGCCTGGCCAATGTACTTCAAGGGCATCCACCAGCACTCTGTCAATGGAGGTGCATTTGTTGTGATGCTGTGGAGAATGAGTGAAGTCTCTAGATTAAAAAGCCTAGCTATTGACTTCCCCCAAATCATCCAATAAAAATGTTATGGATCCCAAAGATCCGACCCCACTGTGTATGAAACAGTCTTGCCTTAGGAACAAAATCATAATTCACTTAATTCTTAACATACAATTCAAATGAGCTTTCCAAATGCACAATTACTATATCAAATTGGATAGTTTCACTGCCCTAAAATTCCCATGAAGTCTACTTACTCATCCCTCTCCAAGAATGTCTTGTTCCACGTGCATGGAACAAACACTGACCTTTCAAAATTCATTTCTAACGTCCTGTTTTTTCCATATTACATAACAATATGTAGCTACACAGTACAAAAATGCTACAGATTTCCCACCAAGTACCACTTTTCCTGCATTCTACATATTTTGATACATTTATGTTCACTTTTATTTAATTCAAAATATTTTTAAATTCCTTTTGAAATATCTCCTTTGGTGCACAGTTACATGGAAATCATAGTTTAGTTGACAAATATTTGGAGAATTTCCAGCTACTTTTTAATTATTATTTTATAACTTAATACTATTGTGGTCTGAAAGCATCATTTGCAAGGTTTCTACTC